CAAGCTGCTCAATGGGAAGAATTACCAGAATTGTCAGTGCAGAAAAGCGTTCAGCGTTTAATAGAAAATAAGAAGTCTTTATGGGCCCGTCGTTCTTATGGCACGATTTTCTTGATAACCAATCTTATAGCTTGGCTCTTTCGAGACTATCGAGAAAAGGCTTTACTGTTATTAAATTGTAAGTCTAATTTCAACCACGTTGTTAATGAAAAGACTTTCTTGTTAATGGAATTTGTGAATTATTTAAAATTGCCAAAGATGCAGAGATATATATACTAATATCTATATAAAACGACACTTTCTTTGCTTCCTTCCTTTTCTTTGTTTTATGACTTTCAAAGTCTTTTCGAGGGTTATTTAAGTACGTTTAATGGATCTAAGCGTTTTTATAATGTCATTTTTGGTTATGGCAGTTCTCATCTATTCATTCCTTCGAACTTTTTCACTGCAGATACAAAAGCTTGTGGAAAAGAGGAAGGAGATTGTTTTCATACAATGGGAATTCTTCGTGTGAGTTTAGGATGCTTTGTATCCTTCTTATAGCAAAATCAAGAGTGCCTTTCTTCTTGTAATTAAATTCTACATATATGTTCCTTACACAGTCAACCAGCGCACGAATTTCAGAAATTTATTGTTTATGATTCAAGTCTCTCTTTCTTAACCATTACAACAATAAATTAAGCATTGTTTCCAATAAATCTGGGGTCGTGTACCCGAAATCTGCCCTGCCATTCTGTTGATTTGTCTAGCTTCCTTGACGTATGATCTAGATATTTTTCTTTGTAATGTTTCTTACAACATTTAACACAAGAAAATTACATGAAGCTCCCAATGCTTGGCATTCTGGATGGTGGGCATTGAAATTCCTTATATTGACTATATCACTGGTGATTTCATTCTTCATTCCCTCGTATTACATTCAAATATATGGTACGTATGATAGTTAAAAATGCAATTCCTTGAGTTTTCTTAAGCAAATATTATAACAGTAATTACTGAAGTTGTAACCATAAAGCTATCTTCAAAGCAATATGGAAAGTTGTCTTTTGAACTCCTATTATTCCTTTTAGAAGTGTCGTCCCATCTTTTTCTTCGCTACTGTGCTATTACGTAAAAGGTTATTTCTGTCCCTTTTGCAGGTGAACTTGCTCGTGTTGGTGCAGGGTAACCTTCAAATCCTTTACAAGTTCCTGATTTATCCCTTTATCGGCATTACTGATATTCAAGACATGAAAGAATTATCTCGTGCTACATTGCATAAAAAGTAAACGATAGATGAAGAAGAATGAGTCAATTTTTATTAACTTACGGTGCAGGGTTTTTTGATTCTCCAGCTCATAAGTGTCATTGAGTTTATCCCATGGTGGAATAACTATTGGATGCCTGATGACAGAAATAAATCAAGGTACACTCTTTTCATTTCTTAAAACTAAGTACTTTCGATAATTCATTGAAGACTTGACACATAAAAGATACAGTATTTTGGCTCATTTACCCTTTTTCTTAAAATTTTCTATGGCAGCTGTTCCCTTGGATTATTCATGTCAACACTATTTTATATAGCCTCTGTCTCCCTGGCGGTGATGTACATGCTTTACGCCTCAAAACCATCGTGCACTCTTAACATGTTCTTCATCACATGGACTGTGATTTTGCTTGTTGTAATGATGATTATATCCTTGCATTTTAAGGTAAATTTATTTTATGAAAAAGGAAAAAAAAAAAAATCATCTTCTAGATGATTTTTATACCTATCATGAAGTATTTCGCATCTCGTAAGTGAATGTTGGCATGATCAAGACAGGTGAATAGAGGCTCTCTCTTCTCAGGGATCATGGCATCTTACATTTTGTTCCTTTGTTGGACTGCTATCAGAAGGTAATGAATCCTTATACATTTGTATTCTCTATGGAGTCTTCTCTTGTACTACATAGAAAACACACACTATATATGTTCAATGTCATCAACAGATCACGTGAGAACTTGATGAATTGCCAAATGCTGTGTAGCACGTATTTTTCACTAGGAAACTCGTATATCCATCCTTAAAACTTTCTATACTCTTCATCTCCATCCCCAACCGATAAATATAGACATTTCTTTAATTACATTCTATCAACACAAAATTCATGTTACTCTTTGTTATATCTTGAAAGCTTAACTACCTTACATAAAACAAAGCAGTCGAATGCTTTCTTTCTCTTGTAAAGCACGTCCTCCATTGAACTTGAAATTATACTTTTACGTGATGTAATTTTTTTTCCCATTTGGTAAAAATTTAATGACAGCGAGCCGGCCAGTGAAAAATGCATCCCTCAGAGACGAGAATGCACATGGTGGTTGGACCACTGTAATTGTAAGAATTCACTCTCTCTTTGATTTTCATTTACTTCACATCAAAATCTATCATACAAACAATTTATGAAAACTTTTGAGTTTTTCTTATTTATTTATTATTATTATATATATATATATATA